TCCTAATCCATGCAATAAATACCGAAATAAACTACTAGTTTGATAATTCTTCTTTATTATTTTCTCTTACCCATTAATCCAGATCTGTTTTTGATATATGTGCTCTAACCTGCATTATCTAACCACAAATACTTTTTCACATTATAGAATCTGCATGATGTGTCTTGATATGACTTTCATTATGCCAATATGTGTTCCTATGTATGGTGGGATATCTATCTCCTAAATCTTGTTCTTGTTTTTTCCTCTCTGTCTCTCTCTCTCTCTGTTTTTGTTTTTGCTCTTCGTTATCAACTCTTTGCACTGGCAGAATCTCTTGGGATTGAATTTATGGGTATGGACCAATCCTTCATTCCGTTTTCCAGATTGAACTGTGTAGCTCTCATTCCATTTGACACACCTCCATAGCCTCTCTCTAATGGACTCTAAAGCAAATTGATTAAGAAATTCGTCTGTCAATCAGCCGTTGCTCTGTATAGTATCTCCTCTTTCCAAGAGTTAGCATGGGGATCATTATCTGCAGCCCTCGTCTCATCACAGTGGGGTTTTAAAGGGATACTCCACTTTTTTTGGAAATAGGCTCATTTTACAACTCCCCCAGAGTTAATCAGTTGGGTTTGACCGTTTTCGAATCCATTCAGCCGATTTTCTGATATTTAGAAGAATATCAGTATTCAGGCAGTTTCTAGTCTCATTGACTTCCATAGTAGGAAAAAATATATATGGAAGTCAATGAGACCAGAAACTGTCTGGTTACTGATATTCTTCTAAATATCAAAAAATCGGCTGAATGAATTCAGAAACGGTAAAACTCAACTGTTTAACTCTGGGGGAGTTGTAAAATGAGCCAATTTTAAAAGAAAGTGGAGTATCCCTTTAAGGCTTTGTTCAGACAGGCAGAAAAAAATCCGATCCGACTCTAATCCGTTTAGGAAAAAAAACAACGTGAATCTGATTTATAAACATCCACATATGATCTAAAATCCGATTACAATCAGATTTTTGTTCAAAGTTCAAATCTTTATTTTTCTGTAATTCGTCACATGTAACATCCTACTAAGTGCACAATATTGAATTTAGTCATGTTCAAGATGTTCATTTTTGTTCTTTTCTCATATGTGGCATTCATTATACAGGAATGAGTGAACAAATAAGTAAGTTTGAGCACAGTGTGTTCATCAAATGCCTGACATCATACTCTTAATTGTTTTAAAGGAAAATCTTTGGCAGCCGATGCACAGATGATATCAAAGGAGTAGTTCACTTTTAAAAAAAAGCTTTTGCTGATAATTTACTCACCCCCATGTCATCCAAGTTCATGTCTTTCTTCCTTCAGTTGAAAAGAAATTAAGGTTTTTGATGAAAACATTCCAGGATTTTCTCCATATAATGGACTTCAATGGGAACCAAACAGTTCAAGGTCCAAAGGAGAGTTTCATTGCAAACTGCAAACTGTTCAAGGGCTGTAAACGATTCCAGACAATGAATAAGGGTCTTATCTAGCGAAACGATCGGTCGTTTAAAAAATAAATAAAAAAGTTTTATAAGCTCAAATGGTCACCTTGCTCTGTTCTGTGATGAGCGTTCATGACTCTCCTGTTCAAACTCGTTCATCAAAATTAACAAATCTTTTTTCGAGTCATGACTCGAAGGGTCCTAGACAAGACCCTTATTCATCGTCTGGTGTAGCTTAAACCCTTTGAAGCTGCACTGAAACTCTCATTTGGACCTTGAACCGTTTGGTTCCCAATGAAGTCCATTATATGGAGAAAAATCCTGGAATTTTTTCATCAAAAACCTTAATTTCTTTTCGACTGAAGAAAGAATGACATGGACATCTTGAATGACATGGGGGTGAGTAAATTATCAGCAAAAGTTTTTTTTTTTTTTTTAAAGTGAACTACTCTTTTAACTATCACTATTTGAACAAATGGATCCAATTTTATACATTGAAAATATTCCAAAAGATCAGATATGATAGCTAAATTGGATTTGTGTGCAATGTGAACAAAGATATGTCAGTCCACTGACTCTTTTAAAATTAGCCATACATTTTCTATCACCCCAAGAAACGTCGGCAAAAGGTTTTACTGTGAGCATTTAACAGTGTGCGTAGTTAGTTCAAGTTTTACGTGGGACTTTTGACAACCATATATTTTGTTGAATTGGTTGGAACGACATAAAGAGGCGGCAAATGAGTCAGTTTTTTGTAATCAGCTTGAAGATGTACACAGATTTCAAGTGTATGCAACGAGTCTCAGGCTCTTAAGGAGTGAGCATTATGCGGGGGTGATTTGTGTAAACCTCTGTCAGTTTACACACCAATCTTGTATTTACTGAAGAGTAAACATAACAAGTGTGTGGCTTCGAGTAAATTTATGTGCACTGGAGTAGTACTAACATTGAATCGAATTATGTTATACCTTGAAAGCCTTGGCTCACGTTGAAGAGTTCAGTTTCCCTGACGCACGCACTTTCAGGATTTCCAGCCAACTCTTTGGGTTTCCCACTTGACACTACAAAAAAAAAATCAATAAAACTAATTATGTAACATTAAAGGAGTTGTTCATTTTTAAAAAAAATGTTTGCTGATAATTTACTCACCTCCATGTCATCCAAGATGTCCATGTCATTCTTTCTTCAGTCGAAAAGAAATTAAGATTTTTGATGAAAACATTCCTGGATTTTTCTCAACATAATGGACTTCAATGGGAACCAAACGGTTCAAGGTCCAATAGACAGTTTCAGTGCAAACTGTTCAAAGGGCTTTAAAAAAATTCCAGACAATGAATAAGGGTCGTATCAAGCGAAACGATCGCTCATTTAAAAAACAAAAAACAAAGTTTAAGTGTTATAAGCTCAAATGGTCGCCTTGCTCTGTTCTGTGATGCGCGTTCGTGACTCTCCTATTCGAACTCATTTATTAAAATGAACAAATCTTTTCCAGAGTCAACTCGTTGAATGAACCAAATGACACGAAATTGTTCATTTTGATAAACGAGTTCGAATGGGAGAGTCACAAACGTGCATCGCAGAACAGAGCAAGGCAACCATCTGAGCTTATAAAACTTAAATTATTTTTTAAGTCGTTTCGTTTGATAAGACCCTTATTCATCCTCTGGAATCGTTTAAAGCCCTTTGAACAGTTTGCAGTTTGCACTGAAACTGTCTTTTGGACCTTAAACCGTTTGGTTCCCATTGAAGTCCATTATATGGAGAAAAATCCTAGAATTTTTTCATCAAAAACCTTAATTTCTTTTCGACTGAAGAAAGAAAGACATGGACATCTTGGATGACATGGGGGTGAGTAAATTATCAGCAAAAGTTTTTTTAAAAGTGAACTACTCCTTTAAGACTTTCAGAGAATATAATTTTGTAATTTTATTATAGATAAAGATGGATAGATAGATGAACAAGGTAAAATCCAGATGGTCTTTTACTCCCCAGTTGATCATACAGACTTGACCTTCTACACAATATGGATGAGTGCTGCAGATAAGAGTCCCCTTTCTCAAACCAAATAGTTCCTTTGTTTTCATTGTCTCCCCTTATTCTAATCTAAGTTCTTCTCCCTGTTCCATCTGGCCTCTTTCCCGTTGTCTTTTGCTGAATTATTTCTTTCCCCTTCAATACTTGCACGCAACTTTATCATTCTTCTGCTTCACCAGTGTGACTTCTGCATCTGTGTTTGATGATGGTTCAAATTAAATGCAGTTTCTTTTTTGTTTTCTATTCTTAATTTGATCAGGCTTGGACAAACTGAATCCCAGTGCCCTAGCATGCCAACTGCATTAGTACGATAATTAGGTTGTTTATATGACCTCTCCCAATCGTCTGTTCTTTGCTTACAAAAACAGCCTCTGTTTTTCCTTGAAAATGATCCATTTTATGGTACGTGTAAACTAGGCTCTCTAGGAAGTCACGTCGTGTGTTTAAATCGCATACTCAGCTCTGTCCCTACTAGCACAGATGAGGCCCTTCAGAAATAATGTCCTCCTCTCCGCTCTGAGCGAACGACAGCTGGATTATTTCATTATTGATTATGAAATATTTCTCCCCTAAGTAGCCCCCATTCCTCTCGGACACACATTCTTTTCCTTTTGGAATCTCTGTGTGACCAAACCAAGGCCCATTTCCAAGGGAAAAGCAGAAGGCTGTGTGGTTTGATATTTCAAAAACATGTCCTTTTAAATTGTGTTTTATAAGAAGTTACGCTCGACCTACAGCATGTGTGGCATAATGTTGAGTACCACCAAAAATAATTCGACTTATCCCTTGTTTTCCAAAAAAAAAAAAAAAATAGGAAAAAGGTTGCTGAATGGTTGTAAATTCTTTAGTTTAAACGTGTGAGCTGTGAAATTGTTTAAATCATTCCTGCAGTCAGATTATGGATTATGGGATGTTATCATGGCAACAAAGTTTATAAAGTAATGGTTTAGTAATTCATGAAAATGATGTTAACATTCATAATGTTTTGATCATGGCACCATGCTATTGAAAGAGTGAATATTTTAATATAATAAACCCCATTCCGTTATTTTGCGAATGTCCCCATTGTAGAGATTTTTGCCTTTTTGTGTGTGTGTGCTAATCAACATTATACCACAAATGCTGTCTAATAAGCTTAACTTGCCTTTAAAGCTTGCTTATGCTTTGACTGGTTATGAATACATAAATTATAACTGACCAAGTCAAACAAAGACCCTGATTATATATATATATAAACCAATTAGCCCCATATATTCATCCACATTTCAATTGTCCTCTTGAAATGCAGTTTGAGCTTGTAAAATGAGCTGAATTGCGACGCCCCCCAGTGGAGGAAGGCATCCATGGACTCTCAGAAATCATGAGTTCCCATTGGGAGATTGTTCAGACAGCCCGTTTCCCTCACGTCCACGATAATGATACGCATTATTCCTCTTGCAAGCGGTTTCCTCAGCTGAGCTGGTCCATTTGAGGCAGAATCACCTCATTGCAGTACATGAGATCCAGGGGGCGGAGTTGGATCCAGATCTAAGGGGCGGAGATGAGTAGGTTTAGGTCATGTGTAAGGTGGGAGGAGTTGAATCTGGATCCAACTCCTCCCCCTGGATTTCGTGTTCTGAAGTGAGGATCATCTCTGTTGAGGCCTGAGCCTCGTTCCCATCCCAAGATCCCAAATTCGGTATTTCATAAAGTCCTGTTTTAAGATCGTTTGTGATGAAATGGAACGGTTAAGATTAACACTGAGAATTTTGTGCAACCACAAAAATGATTTGTGTCAATCTTAACCGTTCCATTTCATCAGAAACGATCTTGAAACGGGGCTTTAAGTGTAAAATACTGAACTTGTCCTTTAATTAGAGCGTATGGGATCTGAGTCATGCCCGATAGGAAGAACATGTTAATCCGGGCTTTACATGATGTATCTCAGACACTATGAAATGAAAGAGGACCGCCGCCACAGTTGGACGGTTTACGAGAGAGTTTAGAAGCAGTTGTAGTTTTAAATGAGACTGATAGTTGTTCTCTGGTTTTGTCGTGTGTGTGTGTGTGTGTGTGTGTGTGTGTGTGTGTGTGCGTGCAGAGGCAGAGGAGCTCTATCAGAAGAGAGTCCTGACAATCACCGGCATCTGTGTGGCTCTTTTGGTGGTGGGCATAGTCTGTGTGGTGGCCTACTGCAAAACCAAGTAAGTATGGGTCGATTTAAACTTAGTTTAGAAATTGAATTATATATATTTTACTGTAGCAGTGATAAGAAAAAAATAGCCTTTAAAAGGTGTACTCAAAAATTTTTTTTTTAATGTATCCATTTCAGTTGTATGACAAATTTCTATCAACACTGAAATCACATATTCAAGTCCTTAATTAAAATAGATTAAAAGTATAGTCGGAAAGTTACATGATCTCCAAAGTTGCATTTATTTGATTAAAAACAGGTGATATTGTGAAGCGATATGATTCTGACATTTTCAGCATCATTCCTCCTGTCTTCAATGTCACATGATCTTTCATTCTAAAATGAGGATTTGCTGCCCAACAAATATTTATTATTATTATTATCAAGCTTGAAATCGGTTGTGCTGCTTCATATTTTTGTGGAAACTACAATGAATAGAAACTATTATTTTTTTTAAATATAAAGTTCAAAAGAACATCAAACAGATTTTTTTTGTAATATTAATATAAATGTCTTTACTGATATTTAAAATCAATTTATTGCATCTTATTAAACTATTCATTCACTGACAGCATTTTTTTTTTTTTACCGTATTAAAGTAAAATAAGGTTTGGTGAATGATAAAACTACATTTGCTTTGGCATTAATTGCATTCATTTTTATAGAAAGTTAAAGATATTTAAAGGTTCTCTAAGCGATGTCGGGTGATGTGACTTCTTGTTTAAAGTATTTTCAAACAAAACGGAGGCTAGATAGACCCTCCCTCCTCCTCATCCGCGCACTGACACCCAATCTCCACCCCCAGGGCCTTCTTGTCAGTTATTGGCTGGAACAGTTTATTACGTTTCGTGGATGGGTCGCCGCAGTTTGGCTTTGTTGCCGTTTGTGGAGCCTGGGTTGTCTGCAAAGACTGCGTTTTTTTAGGGGACAGGCAGCTAGCGGATAGTGAGGAGATGTTTGCTGTATGTGGCTTAAAAAAAACGTTTGACATCACTTAGAGCACCTTTAAGTAAATGTATTTTACATTACATTCTAAAATATCAGTTCAAGTGCAATGTATTTTAAGACAGACTGCATTTTTTTAAACTTTAAAAAAAGAAAACGGTCTGGCATCATTTGTTTACAGATGCCAATTGGTTTAATATTTTATTATCAAAGTTTTTAAGTGTGGCTTCAGTGGCCAAAAATATTTTCCCGCCAAGATTAGATTAATGTGATCATTTATTTTTGGGCCTGAAAATCACTGATACAACCTTTAAAATCAGCATTAAACCTGGCAGCGGCGTTGAGCGTTAGTTCGACTAAATAGTGAGCTTTTAAATGTGACGTGATTCTGGGCCGATGTCTGAGAGAGTGACACTGCCTCACTGTAGCCTCCCCCCCCAGGAAACAGAGGAAGAAGATGCACAATCACCTGAGGCAGAACCTTTATGTGGATCATCCCAACCGAAACCTGGCCAACGGACCCAATCACCCAGGCCCAGGTCCTGAGGAAATACCTATGGTAGATGTACGTCACTCTTCTTAATAAATGTGGTTGGTTGTGATGTATATCTTCTGTCGGTAACAAAAGGGCTCTTTTTTCTTTCTCAATCGCAGTACATCTCCAAAAATGTACCGGCAACTGAGAGGGTCATTAGACACGGAGCAGAGGCACCTTTTCCTGGCAGCCGGCAGTCTTCCAGATCCCACAACTCCTCCACCCGGGCTCATTCCTCCACTCACAGGTACGTTCCTGACAGCGTGGTGTGTTTGACCAGAAATGAGCAGAGGGTTTGTGTGTGGATTCATCACAGCCAGGGGTCACGGCCCATGTCATACGTCTGCTTTTATAGCATTCAGCATTTTTCACCCCCTTTGTTTTCACCCGCTAGGTGTGGAATCCGAGTCAGGCAGCCATTATTCACCCCTTTTAGAATCCAGTCACAGGTGTGAGTGAGTGAGTGCAGAGAAACTCAGAGGTTATACACCATGATCACCTCGCAGGGCTTCGACTTCACGCTTTTCACTCAAACAGATTCTTACACGCATATGGGTTAAACTAGTGGTTCTCGGTTTGTTCTGTCATGACAAAAACAACCTTTGTGTGCCGGCCCCCAACCTTTTCACTTTCTGTTATCAATCAGCCGCGTTGTTGCAAAATATTGTTGCCAAATGTATGCTTATTGAATAAAGTGGAATTATTTGGAACATGGTCATTTGTCAAAAAGCAAATTGGCAATATTAGCAATGCTATGGTTTTATTGTGGAAAAAACCTACATTTTAATTTGTAAATTTTTCAGTTATATATCAACCTATGCTTTGTCAGTTTTTACTTTTGTGAATAATGAATTGCCTAAAACTTGAAATTAAGAATGAAATCATCATCACTGGATATACATTATCTTTTGTAACATTTGTGTTGCCCTTTTCCATAACTAATTCACCACCTTATTGGAGTGTTTTCTTCATTAACTGAAAAATTTTTGTCCATTGATAAAGCTTGAAAAACTTAAACTAAACGAAAATTGGAAATGTACAGAAGCGTATTGCATTCACTTGAAGAAAAAAAATCTACTCTGTTTTTCTGAATTAACAAGTTCATTATCTCAGAATTAGGAGATCATTTTTCATGGAAAAAAGTTTTTGCTCTTTTTTTCTGAATTAACAAGATAATTAGATCAGAATTATGAGATTATTTTTCATGGAAAAAAGTTTTTGCTCTGCTTTTCTGAATTAATGAGTTAATTATCTCCGAATTACGAAATAACTGTACGTGGTAAAAAAGTTTTGCTCTGTTTTTCTGAATCAACGAGTGAATTATCTCAGAATTACGAGTTAATTTTTCATAGAAGTCTTTTCCTCCTTAAAAAAGTCTTTTCCTTGTTAATTCAGAAAAACAGAGCAAAAAACTTTTTTCCATGAAAAGTTATCTCGGAATTCTGAGATAATTAATTCGTTAATTCTGAAAAACAGAGAAAACTTTTTTCCATGAAAAATATATCTCGTAATTCTGAGATAATTAACATGTTAATTCAGAAAAACAGAGTAATTTTGTTTCCTCAAGTGAATGCAAAACGCTTCCATAGAAATGTTGCCTTTAAACTATAAATATATATATTAATAATATACATAAAAATTCAACTAAAATTAAAATATAAAAATAAAAGCTAGTCCATTTATTTAAATAAAAACTATTATAGTGTATATAAAAAAATAATAAAATAACTCTGATTTGGTGTCGTTCCAAATCGTATTTTTCCAATTCGTATTTTCATCTGTGGAACACCAACGTAGAGGATTGTGACTGACTGTCCTCCTCCAAAAAGCACATATGAGCATGAAACTCAAGTCGCTATCTGAGTCTTGAAGACATTTAAGAACTAGCCTCCCGTCCCGCTACACTTTGAGAACCACTGGGTTAAGCATCTTGTGCGCTTTTTCTGTCCTGCTTTCTTTCCTTCCCTTTTCTTTCATTCTTTTTCTCTCTTTCTGTCTTTCTCAGACATGAAGGGAGAACGTGGAGTCTGGAGCGAACAGACAGCGTCCTCTCCGACTGTCCTTCCGACATGATGTCGTCCTCAGTGGGGACCAGTAAATGCAACAGTCCTGCGTGCATGGAGGCTCGGGCCAGACGTGCCGCACACTGTGGCTTTACTGAGCCCCACCGGCCGGCCCTGCAGTACGGCGACTCTTTCGACTCGCTTGGGGACTCTCCGCATAGCGACAGGTGCGCAGGAGCACCCCCTCTCTGCAGCCATGGCACTGAGAACCATTTTAGCGTGTGCAGTAAGACTCATCTGCGTTTCAGGGCATAGTCTCCTTTACCGCGGGAGATTGGCACGGGTGGCGTGAAAGATTCGATAGCAAATTTAACAGCACGTACCATCAGGGTTTGGGTCGTTCGGAAGGGTTTGGTGTGGTCTAATATAATTTAATTGAATTCATTAATATAATTTGATAAAAGTTGATTAAAAAAAAGAAAGCTAGTGAGATAACTATAATTGAAAAAATTCTATATAAGAATATATAATGTGACCCTGGATCACAAAACCTGTCACAAGTAGCACGGGAATATTTGTGGCAATAACCAACAATACTTTGTATGGGTCAAAATGATCGATTTTTCTTTTATGCCAAATAAGTCAAAAAAAAAAAGACCCATGTAACTGGTGTGTGTGTGTGTGCGCGTGTATGTGTGTATATATGAAGAGTTCAGATGCAAAAGCCTCTAAATGCCATTTGAAATTTTCTTCTTTAATGATGATTTTTTATCAAACTTGTATATTTAAGTTCAGTAATTTCACTTACAATGATAATTACCTAGTAATTGTTATTTAAGTGAAATTACTGAACTTAAATATACAAGTTTGATAAAAATCATCATTAAAGAAGAAAATTTCAAATGGCATTTAGAGGCTTTTGCATCTGAACTCTTCATATATATATATATAAACATAACATTTTAATATTTTTTTATATATACATATATATAGAAGGGGGTGCTATATACAGTGTATATATATATTATAGCACCCCCTCCTATATATATATGTGTATATATTAAAAATATTAAAATGTTATGTTTATATATATATATATATATATATATAGGTGTGTATGTGTGAATACAACATTTTAATATTATTATTATTATATAGAGACATATATATATAGGCCTATATAATATTATATAGACACATACACATACATTTCATTAGTCTATATTGTAATATTACATTTATATATCAATATATAAACATTTTAATATAAATATTTAAATATATAATTATACTTTATTACATATATTATATATTCTAATATAAATTGTAATAACTACATGATATATTTTTCCTTGTTTATAATTTTTATTATAGTTATCTTATAACTATGAATTATGTATATAGGCTATCATTAATTTTACATATAATATAAAAAAAATAAACATATTTTAATTATTATAATGTATATTTATATGTTTTTTTATCATATAAACATATTTTTACAAATATAACATATCAATAAACATCCACATATTTAATTTCTTGTGCTACGTCAGCCAAAATCTGATCAAAACCTCTCCCGATAAGAAAGCTGATCCCTCAAAACTCAAAACTATACAAATCACACACTGCGTACCATGACAAATATAATAGTAAAATTCATTGCGCAAATCGTGCAGATGCTCTGGCCCAGCTGAGAATGTCAGAGAGGGAGTCAGGGTCAAGCAAAGCTTCGCTGCTCCAGATACGCAGTATTTGTATCAAGGCAGAGAGAATCTAGCCCACGGCCAGCTGTATTTACAGTTATCTCTCGCCTGCGAAACGCCCACACCACCATGTAAGGGCCAAAACAGGAGAATTTATACCGTGAGGGGTTCATTAAGTCAACAAGAACCGAACAACACATTATCTCAGGGGTGAAACAGGTCTCTGGTGTTCTGCTCTGCACTATTTCCCTCTCTACCTTCTCTCCTCCTCTGCAGCTGACTGAGCTGTTGTGTGCATACGGCTATCTGCCCTCAGGCTCCGAAAAACTGTGACCGAGCAGCCAGTGTTAATTTATCTGCTCCAGTTTGACTGTGGCCTCCATTCTCAGGGCAAGCTCACTTTAACTCACACAGCACAGGCCAAAGGAACAAACGCAGATAGCGACTTTCTTTCTCTTTTCTGTCAAAGGCATCAGGGAAAATTACCCGCTTACATGATTAAGTGTAGCATGATGCACGCTAACGGAAAGGAACTTGTAAGGCAAGCTTTGTCATCCATCTGGTGGCGTGCTGCAGTAACAATGCTTAGCCTAGACTGGGAGGTTTTTGACATGGCCTCGTTTGTTACTGTTGCACGCATGTTTGCTGTCGTTTGCTATTGAGCTTTCAGCCACCGAGTCTTAGTGTGCATACTATCATTTTTCTAGTGCCATAGCAAGGTGGGCGTAAATTGATGCAATTCTGCAAAAATACAAGGCAGGAGCACTGCGAATGAGCAGCTAACACAGAACAGGGATCCCACACCTTTAGATTAGTGAATTGTCCATGTTGATCACAGTGCAAAAGAATTTTAATTATTTTAGAGATATTTGCGAATTCTAGTCAGTATAAATAAAAAAATATATTTAAAAAAATTTAGTTAAAAATATATATATTTTTTTTAGGATTTAAGGAATTTCATGATTTTTCTAGACCTGAAAATCACAATTTTTAAAAATGACCATGGAAACTCTAAAAGAGGTTCTCAACCTTGAGGACGCCCAATGCATATAACTATTTGTGATTGTTAGCATACGTTTCATAGTCAACAGTTAGACCTACTGTCCATATTATTTTGTGCTTATAATTTTAAATATTACTTTCTTTTTGTTTTAACTTATTGTTCAAATGCACGGAGCCCCGCACATGACACCCGGACAAAAATATATGTATATCGTGGCCACAAGAATTTGAACTTGTACAGATTACGATATTATGTGCATGATTTCCATGATTTTTTCCCCGCATGTCATGTGCAGGAATCCATACTACAGTATTAAAAGTAAATATGTAAACTGTAGGTCTATATATTGTGTATTACCGTTTTCACATATATAGAATACAATACTTGTAATTTAGCATATATGCAAAGACTTTTTCATTGTTAAAAAAGATTTATATTTCAAGAATCGAAGAACCTTGCCAAAAATGATTTTGGCTTCCACAAAAATATTGGTTTCCAACATTAAAATTAATAAATACATCTTTAGCACCAGATTAGCATATTAGAATGATTTTTGTCACATGTGAAGAGTAATGATGCTAAAAATTCAGTTTTGTCACCACAGGTGTAAATGACATTTTAAAATATATTAAAAATAAATCAAATTGTATATAATATTGCGGTAACGCTTTACAATAAGGTTCATAGTTAATGTATTAACTAACATGAACTTACCATGAGCAATTTGTTACAGTATTTGTTAATCTTCGTTGATGTTAGTTAATAAATATCAAGCTGTTCATTGTTTGTTCATGTTAGTTCACAGCGCATTAACAAGATTTTCATAAAGCATTAGTAAATATCGAAATGAACGTTTACAAAGATTAATAAATGCTGTATAAGTGCTGTTCATTATTAGTTCATGCTAACTAATGAACCTTATTGTAAAGTGTTACCAATATTGCTATTTTACTGTATTTTGATCACACAAATGCAGCCTTAGTGAGTAAAAGAGACTTCTTTAAGAAACCGTATATACTGTGTATATTATTTATAGACCCAACTTGAAAAGGCATCAAGTCTTTATAATCTGATTTGCTGTTTGTGAGATCCTAAAGTTTAATTCTGTTTGGGTGAATAAACAAAAGGAAAAAGAGTTGTGGAGCCAAAAAGTTGAGGTGGGTTCCTTTGCTGTTATCTGTACTTAAAACCATCGACTGATGTCCATATCTGTTCCACACAACCTTCTTTTCTCCCGCTCTTCTTCCTCTCTCTCTCTCCCTGTCCTTCCCTCGCCACAGGTACGTGTCGGCATTGACCACGCCGACTCACCTGTCTCCCGTGGACTTCCATTACTCACTGCCCCCGCAGGTGCCTACCTTCCAGATCACGTCTCCCAACGCCAGCCACGCCATGTCTCTGCCCCCCGCCGCACACGCTCCCTACCCCCCGGAGGAGGACCAGCCGCTGCTGCGGCGCTACCAGGTGCCACTGCACGAGGCACGGGGCCACGAGCCCTACCGGCAGCAGCAGCGTGGCAGCTACCTGCGGGACAGCACGGGCAGCCTTCCCTCCAGCCCCTACCGGCTGGCTCAGGAGGAAGAGTACGAAAGCACCCAGGAGTACCTCTCCTCCATGGAGCAACCAAAGAGAAGCAGTCGCCGCTGGCGCCGGTCCAGACTCAATGGCCACGTGGCGCCACGCGGCTACCAAACGTCCCGGGACTTGGGCTCACGCACCTGCCTGTCGGACAGCGATTCGGAGGAGGAGGAAGGTGAGAGCACGCCCTTCCTCAGTATGCAGAACATGAACGCCGCCGAGCCCTCCGCCCTCTACAGGCCCGTGCCCGACACACGGACTTCTCACGCCCAGAGCGGGCGGCACGGTCCACACGCCAACACACAGACCAGACTGACGCACTCGCGCCCCAAAATGGACAATGCACCCCACTAGAGAGACCACCACCTATCCACAAACCCCCCCGATCTACTATAGACATGCACCTATAAGAAATATTTTTATTTTATATAACTGACAGATATTATAAACAAATGAAATATTTATTTTCATTTTAGCAAAAGTTGTCTACTAGTTAACAGCAAAGACTTTTTTTATAGGGAAAACTCTATTTATATGTACATTTTGATTTACAGCATAAAAAAAAAGATGTGCCAATTTTTTCACAACTTAAAAAAAAAACAACAAAAAAAAAACAAAAATAGAGTAATATTGTGGTGCCTTTTGCTGTATGCTGGTGCCAGAAGGCCAGTGGAGTTTTTTGTAGCCTTTCTTATACGGACGCCTCATTTTTTTATACTCGTTTACTCTTTTGTTGTCTCTTTTTGGCCTTTTATTTCTTTCCTTTCTTTTCAAGGTTGTGTTTTTTGGGAGCTGACCCCCATTTGAACTGTGACATCCCCCCCTCCACCGTCATGCAATATAAACCACTCTAACATAAGGTGTATGTTTACATGAATTTGATCCACAGAGATGTGTTTATGATCATGTTGCTTTGCCAACAGGAAATCAATGACAAATGCAACCGGGGGTTCGGAAAAAGTAGTGTGTGCGTGTGTGTGTGTGTGTGTGTGCGTGTGTGTGTGTGTGAACGTGAGCGACCAAAAGCGAGAGGCCTCGAAATGACTGTGGCTCTGATAAATATGCTGCTGTTGTCTAGAGTTACACATGTGGGCAACTGATGTCGTCTTACAGATGCACTGCCTTGATTTGCTTTGCATCCCTACAGGGTAAGGTTTGTCACACAGGAGCCTTCTTTTTTCCAAAGGGGATTGTGGGTTAAATGTGAGTGGGCCGTGGGCCGGGCTGTCAGTGCTAATAGCTTTTGACAGATAACAAAGAAATAAAGAACATGTAGTCTCTCCCACGCAGCCCACTTTCCCGTCACTCAGCCGAGTCGCCCTCATTATCAGCACATCCATCCGGTTAGAGCGGTCAGCGGGAGAGATAGACGGGAGGAATGGAAGGCCTCACAGCGTCTCAGGACTTCATTTCACTCCACATCTTCATCTAGCGCAGGACTGAAGAGAGACTGACGGATGCGTCCCCTCCATCGTTTGGTCCTGGTACATTGGGACAGCAAGAGTACAGGTGCTGTTCACACAAGACACGTTCTTATTCCCACTTTCCACTTTTTGTGATCATAAATGCCCAACCCTTGAAATATGATGCATAAAGAAACAAATTGCAATTTTGGAAATGTATATATGTGCACTTATTCTAAATAATAGAATAAACAATGTATGCGTGTACAGAGGCACACATAGTACTCACATATTTAATTTTTTAGAGTGGATAAGTATCAGTTAAAAATAATGGACCAATCAAATGAATCTAGGGGTGGGATAAGCATATTTACAGTTCGCAACAATGGGTTGGGTTATGAGACTTGCATTTAACTCTTATTTTTCATATTAGAATGTGTCCTGTGTGAACAACCCTGTAACACACAATCATATACACACACAAACACAGTCTCAAATGACAAGACAAATAGCTGTGAACATTATTAGGGGTCATTAAAATGCCAAAATATGCAAACTTTATATTCTACTTGCGTTCCAATGCATTTCATTTTTAGTGTGTAATGTTGAGGCAGTTTTGTTTTTTTAACTTCAGGTCAGTTTTTTTTTTTTTTTTACATTAGGTCCATATATTTCATAATTATTTAATATATTCACAGTTACTCTAAGACACCAAATAGGGCAGGTCGTTATAATTCTTATTTTATCATTATTTTCCATATGCAACTCCATGTCCATTTTAAAGCACTCATTGGGCCCAAACCAAACCAGAAACATCTGCACTGACTGACTCTGTTTGGATGGAAACACTCCTACATTAACAACCAGTCAGTGTCGATAAGCCTGAGATGAAGTGTACTAAAATCAGCTGTTTTTAACTCTTCACCTTCTGCAAAGAGCGTCCACAGTCAGCATCAGCTTTCCATCTTATTGAGAAGATGTAAAGAATAATATAGTGCTGAGGGAAGTGAAGTTCAACAGAAAAATGACACCAAATAACAGAGGAAGATTATAACCAGACAGATCCGTGCTAAATATGTTTTCGTGCACTTCTTCCATAAAAGAGATGAGTTGTGATTTAACAATAAGTCCTGATAAAAGGGGTTAATGCTGTATTATGACAGCACAATAGAATATCATGTTTTCTTATTTTAAATGAAGGGATGTTTTGTTTGAAGTTTGAGGAGACATCATTTAGATCCCCTACCTTTCTTCCTTACATTTTGGGTCTTATTTGTATGTTTGGGGAAATGCCAAAAAAAAAGACTCTAGTTAGTTTAATGTGACTCTACTCAATCTCTTGACGGTTATGTCCTGCCAGTTTATTTCTATCTTTTTCGTTTCCCCCGCTTGAAACACCTCCTCACCTCTGCATGTCCTTGTGGTCAAGGTTAGATGGGTGCATGGTACAAGCAGCAGATGATTTGTTTTCCTCAAGTCAGTGGAAGTGTATTTTTTTTATTTTTTTTTTTTACATTCAGCAATAAAAAAAGGAATCTTTTCCCCCACCATGTCCATTCTTGGAAAATGCTAGAGGATTTTAAAAAGTGAGAACAAACACGCGCGACTGTCATTGATTGTAAAAAAAAAAAAAATTAAAATAAAATGAAAACACCTGTTCATATGAGAAAATAAATATTTCTTGGTATCATTTTGGCACATGCCCATATCTGACCTGTTGTCTGTCTCCTCTGTTCATAGTCATCTTGCCTGTCACTAATGATTGAGTATCGTTCTACCTAGGCATGGAATGATGTAATAATAGCCATGTATTCCTTAAATGTAGACGGCGAGTGCCCGCTCTCCAAGTGGTCCTCCACAAAAGATAAAATGACCCGACAAATGGCAAGTCACTGGGTCCTCATTATGTGTCTTGCACCAATCCACAAACATCTTCCTTTTTATGAGCATACAGGCACCTGGTAGAAGAGACCCTAGCCTCTGCTATAGTATAAGTCACCCTTTGTGAGATACCTGGCTCAGCACCGCCTCAACAAATTAGCTGTACCATCTGGGGATGCAGCCGCCACTCTCCATGAACTACAACCTCCATGGATGGCATGTCCACCCCACAATTTAGGTGACCGTGTAGGGTCACCGTGATTTTGCCATGTAAGACATGGTCCTGGATCAACATATTTTGTTGATCCTGGATCAACATTCCTGTCCCGAAATGTAGTCCTTACCCAATCCCTACCCCTAAACCTAACCCTACCCATAAATTTTCCCTAAAATCAGAAGGTAATGAAAGGTGAATAGCATTGATGTTTAAGTACTTCACCCTGGTTCTAAGCCTAAACTTGACATAAACTGTAAATTTGTCCCTCAGATCTGATTGGTTGATTGGAAAGTTGATCCAGGACCAACAAAGATGTTGATCCAGGAACATGTGGTACTTGGTGAAATCACGTTCACCGACCGGGTCCATAGAATGCCTGGATGGAGTTAAGATTTGCATCGGCCCACAAGAGGAGGTGCTCTGCCAGCCTCTTCAGCGGTCAAGACCAGACGCCACCTTGGCAAATGGATGTCTTTCCAGAGCACCAATGTCTCCTGGTCCGATATTACCGATTCCCCCACACCAAGAGGGAAACAGGAGTGGTCAGCTTGCAAACTGAAGCGTATAGCCTTTTTCTTTCATACTCACCACCCAACGAGACACAGCTGGCAGAGTACACCACGCATCCACGAACAGCCAAAAGGCTCACCGCTCTGGGGCGGGGAGATGCTGTCGATTTCCATGTTTGGTTTTGTTTTGCAGTGTTTATTACAGGGATCATTCAAACAACCTATGCTGTCCTTAGCAACATGCAGGGGGACAGATGAACAGCCTCTACAACCTGCCACCTTTCCGAATATCTGCACGTAGCTCCTTCCTCCTTATGCTCACCTCTCAGTGACTTGCTGGGGTGTGATCCCATCTGCTTAGGGAAGTGCCTCAACATGTTGTCTCTTACCACTGGCTTGAGCTTTTTCCAAGGAGCTGAGGAAGCAGTGTTGGCATATGGCCTCTCTCAAACAAGCCCACAACATCACCAAAGAGACCTTGGGGACTCACAGGGGAATCTAACAGAGACATCTTTTCTGATTTTTTCATTTCCTTGAGAATGAGCCACAAGTGGTGGATCACAACCACCAAGCTTTCCATGCTGCATCCCATCGCTTGGGCAGTCACCTTGGTATACCGGAGAACTGAGTCTATAGACAACCATAACTCCATATCTGGAACTTCATCTTCTTGAGCAGCTTGGCCTGGAGCACTTGCAGCACCGCAGTTGTATGAAGGCGGATGCTGCCTAATGTTGGCCGTAGTCTGACGTGGCTTGAAAGGAAGCAATGCCTTGGACTTCCAGCCCCGGGATGAAGGGCTGAGATGGGCCGCAATGGCTTCCTCGATGAGCAGCAGCTTAGGGCCCAGCTTTGTGGACAGTTGGGAGAGGGGAAGTTCCTCCAGCATGGGCCCAGGGTGAACCGAGAGATCTCATCATGTACCTCAGGGAAAAAAGGTGCCTGTCTCTTGGGGGCAGCATTGTGGACATTGCATGCTCATCCGAGGTGCCAAATGAGATCAGCTTGTGGGCTTTGTTGGAGTGAAAATGACTCCAGGGGTGCTTCATGCATGTCAGTCTGGGACTTGAATAGGTTCCCCGCGTACATTACATTCCTTCAGGGCCATCTTCCTCATCACCGGAACGCTGAAGGGGATTGGCAAAACCGAGGATCATCCTCTTGAAGGCATAGATCACCGGTGAGAATCGTACTCTATAGCTAGAATGAGACAGATTTTGAGGTGATGACGGTCCAGCACCGTGTTATTTAGCAATAGCAGATGCTTCGCTCATCGCACGAGCGCTTTCCCTTAACATCAACTACCGACACAATGTCAAGTGAAACAATCTCGAATGGGAACCCCTGAGACTTTAGCATATCCACGGGAAATGTTTAAAGTTGCGCATGAAAACTGGAATGTTTTTTCAAATTCGGCAGTTGCAGCATCCAATCATCAGATATTTCCTAATATTAAATGTTAATAGAAACACTGTATGTCAGAATCTTGTTTCACACCATATTGTATTGAAAGTTTTTGAGCAGAAGCTACAGTATTTGTGGCTAGAGGAATTAAAGTCCACTAGAGGAGAAATTTTAATTATGTTCACATTGCCCATGTCTGTGGATGACTAGGGTGGAACAACATGCTATATGGATTATTATAACCTACGACATTGTGGTATGGACACACGGAGGAAGCTGGGGAACAAGGTCAGGAGTGATTCTCTCACAACAGCTTGTACCTCCAGCTGCACACATCTGAGTTTCAGTGTCGAAGAGGCGATTTTTTTATTTTTATTTTTTTTTTGTCTTCTGAGACATTTCCAAGACATTCATCTGGGGCCCATCATCGCCAACACTTCGCTTTCCCCTCAATGACCCTGATCAGCTCTCAGTTTTTATGTGTTTCTACACTCTCTGGTCAATCCTGACATGCTTAAACATGAAACATATGCCTCACTATATTGAGTAGCTGCCAAGTAAACTTGAACACACCAGTCCATGGTAACTTAATTGTAGGTGGACCGCAGCCTACCTGTTTTTAGTTTCACGCTTACAACTTTAAGAGGTAATTATTTGGCTGATTCTACACGGAAAGTGCAGTAAAACAGGCTGAGTATGTTATCTCTAACCGTCAAATGCAAGTATGTGGACCACTACTACTAGAGCAATTAAGTATTACATTGTGTTTAATTGTTAAGACCTTATTTTTACATTCTTAGTAATGTGAATACTCACTTCATTTTGCAGTCATAAAAGCTAGTTTTTCCAATTTCCAAAGCTAGTTTTATAGCTGAATTTAATAGCTCAATGCAGCTGGTATTTGGCAGACTTCAAGAAAGTGATGTGTTACAGACAACTTGGAAATCGTTTTTTTGTTTTTTTTTGTTTTTTGCGTTAATGCGGCAATTCAGATGATTTTGGCACATTAAGTCTGCAGTTCCTGAGCATTTGTGTCTTGTTCACACAGGAATCTTTGTCAGAAACATTCTGCGTGATGAACATTTAAATTTGAATTCATGCATCTGTTCCAATCGATACGAACATTCACATAATGTCAAATTCACTAGCAAGGACCACGCTACAACTATGGGGATGGGGGAAAGGTTGTGATGATTCTTCGTCTGACTGATAAGGGAGTCTAGTCCAGGGAGACTCAGAGTGAGTGCTTCGTCTCGGTAGGTAGATCGGGAGATCACTAAGATTATTACGGATATATAAGCGGTGTGCTTCGAATGACCAGCAGCCTAGGACTCTGATTGTCTTGTCCGAGATGCCCATGCGGGCGGCCGTGGTGGCTGCTCCAATCGGTAATGTTTGGGAGAAATGTTTGTTAAATCAGAATCTTGTGGTCATGTTTCTGTTTTCTGCGAGGAAAAGTGGTTCTTGAGGAGACGAATTGCCGTATCTGGAAAGAACGTATTCCGAAAAAAAGTGGCTCATAAGGACTGAAGAAGGAGTTGAGGCGAAAATTGTAGATTGGAGATGACTCTCTGAATTGGTTGGTTTTACTTCTCTTTAGGGTTTATCATCAGTGGTGATGTCTGAGAGGCTGGGATGAATGGCTGGATTGAATACTTGAAGTCGACGGGGCAAATTCCGAGTATCTCAGGAAGCCGAAGAATGCGAGAAAGAACATGTATTGGTCGATCAAAGGGCTCAAGTATCCAGAACGTAATGTGTGGATGCATTGGCTCAGGAGGTTAGAGTTAAGGGCAAGCATTTAATGGTGAGGAGTGGTTCTTGTTTCCGTAGACCTCTAATGAGTTGCATTGGTCGCCATTGGCGAGTTTGTAGACAAAGTTGATTCCAGTCCGGATAGGTAAGTCTGAATGGAGGATGCCCTGATCTCTAGTTCTCGTTTGCGAAGGAAAGTGATCCTGAAGTTGAGTCGGGTTGGAGAAATCTTCGAAGATGAACTATGATGTGGAAGCCCGCGGGGCTGAGAGATTTCCACAGAAGAACAGTGTGAATTTTGGCTGCCTAGGGATTGTTGTGAAGACCTTCTCTGTGACGGAGGAGCGATTCGGAATAAATAGTCAGAGGGGTTGATCTGCAGCTCGGATCCATGTCAAGAAACTGAGACAAATGGTGCGGTGAAGGTGGGTGCAGTGTATATATGCAGACGGGGAACGAGCTGATTCGTTGAGGCATTGTCTTTCTCCCGAACTTCAGTTAACTTGATAATTATATGCAACATGTAGGGGTTCTAACACTTTTTCCTACCTTTCCAAAACTGGTCAAGCCGGTGCTTTATTTGGTACAAAAGCATTCTAGTCAATCATATCATAAGAATATCAGTTGGCGATTTCCTATGAATTCATTTGATATGAATGAAAACAAATGATTTGTAGATGAAACGTCACCATGTAGCATCACTAAATCCAATCCTCAGCTTGGCATTGGCAGATTGTTTGAAAACATATTAATTTCGCCACCAATGCACCAAATATACGAATTGTCATGAGAGTGTTTGGTTTTAGTGCATTCTGGGTAGGTGAACACTGGAAAAACTGAATGATGTATATTGACTGGAGGAAATATATGACCTTGTTTCTGGAGCCAAAGGCAGTTATCAGATTTTATACATATCTGTCTTTCCTCCGTCATGGAAGCAAC